CCATAAGAACAATCAAAGTTGGCCATGATATCTGAATAACTATAGTGGGTACAGAAAAAAACATAAACCGTGTCATTACAAACAATTTCAAAAATAGTTTTAAATTGATACCTACCTGCAATAGTAAAAAATTTATACCTTTTCATTCCGAGTAATTTTTTGCAAGTCAGTACGCACCTTAAAGGCTATTCCGGTTCGCGCATCTTTGGATTCTTGAGCTTGGCTGGACACTGTTCAGTGGACAGAAAGTATACCTTATTTTTATAACCCAACCCAAGTGTGTTATATTTTGTTTCGAAATTTTCAACTGTGAAACTATTTATTATACAATTATTATAAATTATGGGTGATGAAATAACTTTTCTTCAGAAAATTTACAAATTCTAAAAATGAATGGAAAAGTGTAATCTAAAATTATCATGAAATAATTATAAGCAGTGGCGGATGATGAATTTTGAGTATACCGATACCAAATTTATAAAGTGTGTCTACATAAGTTGGCAACGTATGGGAAACTTTTTTATTATTAATTTTTAGAAAAAAAGTTATTCTTCATAAGAACTTTATAAGTTCGTAATGACACTAAATTAACAAGTTCTGCGCAAGCAAAATTTAAATAGAAGTTTGCGAAAAAAAGATACGCCTACCCTGTAGCCTGGCCCGCCTAATATAGATAATACAAATTTTAGTGGTGCAGTTTATAATTTACCATAGTTTATCGATGAATTTAAAAATTCTAAATATTACAGATTTTATACCATTTTAAATAAATTTTTATTTCTTTTCCTAAAATAATAAAAAAATAAAATGGGATATAATCTGTATAATTTGGATTTTTTCAATAAATTTTAAAATTTGTCAATAAACTATGATAAATTATAAATTGCACCACTAAAATTTGTATTATCTTTATTAGGGGGGGCAGGCTGCAGGGTAGACGGAGCAAAAACTATAGTTTTACACGTATATTGTACAAATTTTTATGTACGTCTCTAAATGAAAAAATAAACGGTAATTATTTTTGTCTAAGACTTAATTTAGGGTTATTTTGACATTTTGACATTTTGACTTTTTTATTTGATTGGTTAAAAGCAGAGAAAAACGCGTGCGTTAATTAACTTCTCACTCAAAATGAGTGGGATAAGAAGTTCTTATCTCACTGGCGTAGATAAACTAATATAAAGTTCTGCGCAAGCAGAATTTAAATATAAGTTTTCGAAAAAAAGATATATCTTTTTTTCGAAAACTTATATTTAAATTCTGCTTGCGCAGAACTTTATATTAGTTTATCTACGCCAGTGAGATAAGAACTTCTTATCCCACTCATTTTGAGTGAGAAGTTAATTAACGCACGCGTTTTTCTCTGCTTTTAACCAATCAAATAAAAAAGTCAAAATGTCAAAATGTCAAAATAACCCTAAATTAAGTCTTAGACAAAAATAATTACCGTTTATTTTTTCATTTAGAGACGTACATAAAAATTTGTACAATATACGTGTGATAACGCTACGCACTCGTTGGGCAAATTTCGCATGCGTACGTTAATAAAGCTCTTATCCCACTTATATCGTAAATAACTATTATAATGACACTAAATAAACAATTTGGTGTGGATCCCATGCCTAATAACTAAGAAATGGTATATGCAATGGCCTTCTGGACACATGTGTCCAGAAGGTCATGGCTGCAGCTAACATCAAGATAAACATACCATTATTGTTATAAATCTCGATGTACCACTTTATTCTACTCTTGTTATTACCATACTGCATGAACTGTGATATTTATTAACTTTTAAATAAATGTTTTTGACTTGACTAAACAATAGTGGGACCGATCTACTCAGTAACTAATAATAATGGGTGGCCATAAGGGCTAGGAGTAATCCCCAAATTATATTAAGGGACATTGTCCTAACAATACTTAAGTCCTATGCATGCCACTACATGGAATATTCTTTTTATGAGGACAGAGTTAACCAAATAGCTTTCCCAGGAATATTCTGGTACGCTTGAAATAATCCTGGGAATTTTCCTGGTACCTATAATGTTATTGTAATCATTAATGTTTAGTAAGACTCTTAGGGAGTGAAAGGCCCATGTGAGGAAAAGGGCAAGGAAATTACGCATTTCTCACAGAGAGAATTCTGCCATTAATGGCAATGTCTGGGAGCCAGAAAAACAATTCAATGAATTTGAGGACAAACTACCAGCACTAACAGTGGTGGAGGGCAGAGCTGTGCGGTACTCGAGTACTTGTACTCAAATTTTGTACTTTAAGTACTTTTTATGTACTCGGTACTCAGTCCAAAGTACAAAAAAATACTTGTACTTGTACTTATTTAATTTAAAAATGTAAAAATGAACTCGAGTACATTGGTTGTACTCTAGTACATTTTTTGTACTCGAGTACTTTTGTTGTACTCGGCATCTTTGTGTTAAGTTAACATAATCACTACTATAGTCAGAGACTATAGTGGCACTACATATTCAAATTTATTGCCATAATTATAATGCTTTAGCAGCTAAAGTTTAACGGTTCGGCAATATTCGGAATAAATCCTCGATATGGGCAAGTTGGTAAAATATCATTGTGGTGCCCTACTTTATAGAGATATTACATATTACAAGAGGTAGTGCCCTTTTTATCTCTGGTAGTGCCGTCATAATGTCATATGTAACGTTTTTTTTTTAAGTAATTTGAGATTATTCTGCAATAAAGAATCTGCATTAGTATTATTTTAAGTGTTTTGGTTTTTGTTATATTGGGGTAAGTAAGATTTTAAATATTATTTTGTATTTGATTACCTACTCGATTAAGTTTTTGTTATATTTGGTACATACGCTTAAAAAATTAGGTTATATTTTTGCATTCAATCTTGTTTCTTGCAGTCATAAATGCATGTTACCTTAATTTAATTTGGTGCTTGCAGTTAAATAATGTTTAGGCTATTTATTAAATAAAATATATAATAAATTACTTGCATAAATAGCTATACCTATAGGTAATAAGGGTTATATGTAAAAGAATAGTTAATCTATTTTAATATTATTTTTTTCTGTTTAAAATCGAAATAATTGGTTATTTGGAAAAAAAATATTCAAATCATAATTAAATGTATTAAAAAAATATAAAAATGCAGTTTTTTTTTAAATATCCCTATAGTGACCTTAATCTTATATTTTGTTTTGTTTAACTTTTAACAACTTTTTTTGCTAGATACTGAAACCTAAATTACATTTTAAGAGTTTTTGAAAAAAATACTTTGTACTTTGAATAATTTTTGTACTTTGTACTTTGTACTCAAGTACATTTTTTTCAAAGTACTTGTACTTTTACTCGAGTACTTTTTTCTTGTACTCGGAACAGCTCTGGTGGAGGGATAACCAACTCTTTAACTCGGCATTGACCAGCCTTTAATGTTAACACAGGCTAATAATCTGTCATAACAAAAAAGAGGCTAAAAGGACTCAAGAGGCCGTGGAGAGAAAATCGAGACCCATGGGCCTCCTTGCAGGAAGAATTTGAAATGCGGGCCGGGCCATCTCCCTAAAATTTATGATTTTAGTTTAATTTTACATTATATCCATGTTAATGTTACATGTTTTTTAGTTCTAAAGATGTTTTTTTAAGTAAATAATTTAGTAAAATATAAATAATAAACAAGTGAAGAAAGTATGTACAAAACCTATCCGAGGAAGCCATGTGAATAAAATTGTATTTCCCAATTAATGGAAAGGATTGCTCTTAAAAATAAAGTATTTTTAAACAGAGAGCGCATTAAAGAGCACTTTTTAGTACTTTTATGCTATGTCTTAAAAATATTCCGAACAATATTCCTTAAAATTGGGCACTGTAATTTAAAGAAATATTTTTATCTTGGTTAAAGTATGCAATAAACAACAAATCACCATGTTTTTACGATCTTTTACACATGTAGATCGTTAGGTACAAATTTATTTTAAACTGCAATAAAACTATCAGAAATCCTAATGTTTTGCAATTTTGAGACTGGAGACAGACTAATTAATAAGTGATAAATACAAAATGGACCAAATATAAATTATTCTGTCTAAATAAAGAAAATTATAGTGACACTTTTAAAATAAAAAAAACATTTGTAAACTAATGCATGGGTGTTGCAATTCTTTTACCGGAATTCTTTTTAGGCGGATATTTTAATAACAATACGTACACCCACTTGATCAGCGTTTGAGGAGATTTAGGAATCTTAAATAACGAATATTTTAAAGCCTATAACATATACAGGGCTAGCCATAATTTTTGGAACCACTGTAAAAAAATGTTACTCTAAAACGCCCTCTTTATGAAATTTTGGATAAAAATACTTCAACTTATATCTCAGTTTACGTGTTCGAGGGTTTTTCGAGAAAATATTTTTAAAGCCCTTTTATTTAATAATGAAAAAACGTTCGAAAAATAACTTTTAGAGTAATTTTTTTAAGTAAATAAAAAATATGCTGTTAAAGACCGTATTTTTTGTAGTTTACCCTGAAAACATTTTTTTAAATTAAAAGAAACAGTAACGAAGATACAGCGCTTCAAAGTCGGTAAAAATGGCCCCTTTTTGATTAATTTGCTGAAAACTGGTCATTTTTGCTGTTCGTTTAATTTGTACAAAATTTTCAGGGTATACTAACAAAAATACGGTCTTTAACAGCATATTTTTTATTTACTTAAAAAAATTACCCTAAAAGTTATTTTTCGAACGTTTTTTCATTATTAAATAAAAGGGCTTTAAAAATATTTTCCCTCGAACCCGTAAACTGAGATATAAATTGAAGTATTTTTATCCAAAAATTTCATAAAGAATAATAAAGGCGTTTTAGAGTTGGATTTTTTTTACAGTGGTTGCAAAAATTATGGCCAACACTGTATATATGTTATAATTTAAAAACTATTATTCCCAATTAGAGAAGAAATTTCTTGCAAAGCAATTCTTTAACAAAATTAATTAATTAATTCTTTTTGTATTTCAGGTACTTCATCAACCTTTGGGATTCAAAATCCAAGTAAGTGCCCCGGGCCCAGAAGGGCTCCCAAATCTTAAGTAGTCTTCGTCATTCCAACAAAAAACTTTCTAAAATTTCAGAAAATGTTCCTTAAATGGAAATCGCTGGGTTTGATATTAAAGCCCTGATACATATCAATATGTATAAAATATGAAATACCGTACTCGTTATTATTCATCCAATTTTATTTGAAATTACTTTGTACTTTGTACTTATTTAAAAAAATATGAATAATAACTTTGATTAGTTACATTAAATTAATTGAAATTTTACTTTTACACACGTGCTAGCACGCTATAGCATGCTATAGTTAAAATCACCGCTAAGCAGACACAGGCTTTTTTAAAGAGCATACCGTTCGTTTTAAATCAACCTTTAAATCAATGTTGGCAGATGGTGCAAAAGCAAAAGTTTCTTCGCAACCACACCACCAATTATTTTTATCATAAATAGTGTAATTAAATTTACGACAGCGCGATTTTGGTCCACTTCCACTTGGTTTTGTCATCTACCTAAACAAACCTAGCGTAAAGTCCAGTTCGACGAAATTACGGATAACGAGACCGAATTCCCTGGCAGGAACAGATTCAGAGTTACCATTTTTAACGTTATTATAGATAGACTGATTGCAGAACTACGGAGACGCGGAACTGCTTATGAGGAGTTAAATAAAAAGCTTACAGCTTTTTATCCGGGGGGATTGGATAGGACTTTGGAAAACGAGTGTCTGCACCAAGTTATAGAGTTATCGTCACTAAACTAAAGCTAAACAAATACTTATCGGAAAAAGGCTTTTTAAACATTTATTAAAAAGAATTTAATTACATAAGATTGATCTACCATAGAAAAGAACAGGCTAAATTCACTCTCTGTAACAGAGTTAGAAATAATCCAGCCAATTGACTATGATGACGTCATTCGTTCTTTGCAAAGAAAAAAGTTCGCCGTATGATTCTATAAATTTTATAGTGACTTATTTTGATGTTTATTAAAGTTTTTAAAGTTGATCAAAAATTATATTTTCTGTACTAGCGTATTTAATTTGCTAAATTTCCAAAATAGCTTCGAGATGGGGGGAAATGCCAAGTGCCTACCCAAGTAGCATTTATAGTGGTTAAAACGTTAAAACACGTGTTGACAACACGGTGTTGTATACTATAGTAACTAAAATGGGGAACACTTTTTTAGTGTCAGTAACGTGGAGGTATAGTGGCCAAAACTTAATCATAACTTTACTAATCTTTACTTTCTATCCCCGTTTCTTAGCGGATATTAAAATTATTTATCTAGAGGCCTAAAATAATTTTTTTGTTATTTCTGGTCATCTGAAACCAATAAATAGGTAAACGTGTTAAATTTGGTGCGGTAATAACCAGAATTATTTGTTTAAAACTACACATTTATTTCCCTACAATGGCGATTATTTGTAAACATGTCTGCTTTTAAAGAAGGGAACTTTAAAGTGGTAATTTTATACGGTGTGGAAATCACTTAAGCATGTAGCAAGAACGTGGCAATCACCACCGCAATTATATAATCAAGTTTGGCCACATTCAAGGTTTGGGAAAAGTTCCGAAAACGTTATCAAAACTGATATACCCACTTTACTGCTACTACCACTTCAAAGTAATACTTAAGTGATGTGATTTGTTTACAGTTACTATTGAGTCAAACCACGTCAAGTGGGACCAGAAAATTTCACGAAATCACCGATTTTGAAAATAATCACATTAGTGTGTAGTAGGCATGACTCATATGTCATGATTACTGATTAAGCGCACAGCGGGACAAAAAAATTAATATCTCCGGAATGACATAGGAAAGACAAATTTTTGAGTACATCTTATTAAACGGAAACGTTTGCCGCATATTATGACACAAGATTAATTTTTTTTCAGCGTGAAGAACACATACAAAATTTCAATTGTTTATAATAAATGTATGCAAAATTATTTTATTTAAACAAATTAACCTTAATTAAATGATCATTATATAGTCTAAACATTTCTACAATAGTGTGTAAAATTTAATTCAATTATACATAATGGTTCCAGAGATTCTATTTTTTCAATTTTACCGTGCTCTAAAGTTTGACAAAATTGTCAACCTTAATAGCATTACCAAAAAAACGAATTTTAAAACAATTTTTTTACTGTTACATATGAGTCATGCCTACTACACAATAATGTGATTATTTTCAAAATCGGTGATTTCGTGAAATTTTCTGGTCCCACTTGACGTGGTTTGACTCTATTCATAATCCACTCTAAAGTTTAGACAACTTTAAGGTGGTGTCAAAAGTGGTCATAACATTTCAGATACCAGACTAATACACCAAAAAGTTATAAAACTATATATATATATATATATATATATATATATATATATATATATATATATATATAGATATGCAATCCTACATTACCAAGCCCGAAACGCTACATTCTACAGTATAAACGAAGCCCACTCGGTTTTTACGAAGCCCGAAATCGGGCTTCCTAAAATTAGCGTGTATAAATTTGTTTTAGAGTTAAGTGATGCCCCCTTGTTTCAATGGCGAAAAAGTGGTGGGCTTCCTAATGCCATTCAAACCTATCAAAATATACACCCTTAGTTCCAATGCTTTGGCGGTAGGGGGCACACGAGTCAAACGAGATTATATACAGCTTTTTATAAGTATTACGCAGTATACGAAGCCCGTACATCTGGCAACAATGGGGACTATACGCTCGATGACTTTTTGATAGGAAGGCGGGGAAAATAATGCGGGATTCTTAAATTTGTATCTACTGATTTTCAAAACAAATGTTATATTCGCAAAATTATGTTTTGTTCACTACATGGCGTGGATTAAAAGGCAATGTTTTGTTAAATACTTTCGTAATACACTTAATTTTAAAGAAATATTTATTTTTGAAATATTATTTGGAGTGCATTTTTCTTTGGGGCGGTTTTACAAGTTGTCCAGATATTTTACATAGTTTTAATTGGGGAAACAAGGGGATTTGTATATATTATTATTATTATTCAATGTTACATTTAAATAATTTAAATAAAAATAATTTTTAATTTATTTGAAACATTTCCAATTTTAATAAAAATAATTTTTAATTTATTTAAAAACTTTCCAATAGCGCACGGCGGTCCTCAAGGGTGAATAGGTTGACCAAAAATGTAGCCAAAAAATATTTACTACATCTAATTGTACTCCACTTAGGCTCTCTAAAACCATTTTTGGGTAAATCGCAGCTGATCGAAAAGTTGATTTTTTTTTTAGTTTTAAAAGAAAATCATGGAATTTTAGTAGTTTTGTTTTTGTTACATTTTTTTTATATCAAAAGTTTGTGTAATTTTAATCATTATCTTATTGAAAATCAAATTATTTAATCTTCTGAATAACATTTAGTAGTATTTATTAATTGAAATCATGGTTAAGTATCAAATTTTCATCCGTACTGCAAAAAATTTAATAAAAATGTAGGTAAAGGGTGCCATGAAATCTAATAAAACAAAATATGTTGTTATGAAAACACTTCAATTGTTATTGAACAGAGAAAGTAAGTTTTAATTAGATGTTTGTGCTTGTTGTGTTATTTAAAGTAGTGTTTTAAGTTCAAAGTAATACTGCAAAAGTCTCTGTGACGGCTGGTGGATTTTGGGTACACCAATATCTCAGTTATTACACATGGTACTCATATGCAATTTAAAATTCACAATTCACAATATAATCAACAAATTTCAAACTTTATTTAAAAAGTCCGAGTATTACAGATTTTATACCATTTTAAAATTTTTATTAATTATAATTTAAATAAAAAAAAAAATAGAAATGATATAAAATCTGTAATACTTTTTAAATAAATTTTGAAATTTGTTGATAAACTGTAGTAAATTATAAATTGCACCATTTTAATTTAAATTATCTTAATTTGGGGGGCAGGAGGCTGGGGGGCACACTAAAAAACTTTTTTTCCCAAACTTCAATTTAAATTGAATATAATGTACTCATATAAATTTGATGTGGGTCCCATGTCTAAAAATTGTGATATGGGTGTGTCCAAAATCCACCAGCCGCCACTTTAAGATAATCATGAAGAAAACCGATCGAAAGTTTGTGTTGCCTGCGGCAGGAAGATAGTTTTTGGAAAATGCAATCCATCAAAATTTAGATTAAATGATAGCCTAAACAATTTGATAAATCTACACTGCTTTAAATTTGACAAAAATGACAGTAGATATCCCAATGCATGTGGCAATTGTCGTTTGTCTTGATACGATAGGAGACAGAATATATTAAAAATACCTCTTCCCAAAAAAGAACCGGGTTTTGACAAAATTGAGCTACATTCAAGAACGAGACTCGCATGTCACCATGTAGCTGTCGACTATGTACCATTGCTAGTTTTAAAGGTCACAAACTAACACGCAAAAATCCTAAATGGAAGAACAAAAAAGCAAATTTTAGAACATGTAGTGAATGTTGCAAAAAGTTGGTAAAGGAATTTCCCACAATTGCAGGAAGCACAATTCTGTTGTCTGTTGTCCCCTTATTTTTTCTGATATTAATGAATCAAGAAATGGCACTTCAAATGTTGGTTTATTTAGAACTTACCTGGGAAAAATATAAAATTAATTGTTTGGACAATGCAAGCTATGGTTTAAGTTTGAGAAAAGCAGTAGTAGATTTTTCTTCTTGTCATTTGTAGGTTTAGTTATTAATGTTTCATGTTTTGTAAAAGTAGTTACTTAATGTTATTAATGTTTCATGTTTTGTAAAAGTAGTTACCTAATGTTATTGAAAAGATCAAAGGATGAGATTTTTATTCGAGTGTAACCAAAATTACAAATATTTTTGATATAACAAAAAATGTAACAAAAAAAAACTAATAAAATTCCATGATTTTCTCTAAAAACTAAAAAAAATCAAGTTTTTGATCAGCTGCGATTTACCTAAAAATGGTTTTAGAGAGCCCTAGTGGAGTACAATTAGATGTGGTAAA